GGCCTTGGCTGTTGAGTGAGTGACAGAAACACAAGGCAGAACTCTTCTATTTAAAAAACTGGAAATAAATAAATAAATAAATAAATAAATAAATAAATAAATAAATAAATAAATAAAAATGGGCCGCTTGGGAGTGTGGTAGCGCTCCCGCCGAGGGTTCGGATCCCACATACAGACCAGTTCCCGCTCACTGGCTGAGCGAGGTGCGGGAGCAACACTGAGGGTTGCGATCCGTTGCCGGACATGAAAAAAGACAAAAAGGAAAAAATAAATAAATAAATAAAAAACTGAATACTTAGGTGGGCAGAATTTTTAAGTCATGAAAATAGCATTTGCTAATAAATTTTATTTTCATTCATTGTTCTAACTAGGCTGGTAAGTTGTTAAATAGTAGACTATCAGTTATGTTTGCTGTTAGATTAATGAGAAGTTTTTGTGTGTAAAAAGTGCAAGCAGTAGATTTTGGACTGTGATGACTTCCTGTGTACTCTCAGCTTAACCATCGATTCTAAGGCACCCAAAGATAGCACCACTTACAGGGTAGCAGCTGCCCCAAGTGCAGGGATCCCTCTCCTAAAGGAAATCCATCTTCTGAGCTTTGGGTGTCTTATCCTAAGCCAGTGCTGCAAACTATAGCTAGTTTGGAAGGACTAGCATATTAGATTGGTCTTTTAAAATTACCTACCCTGCCTCCTTTCATAATTAAAGTAGCAAATCATTACTGTTTCTCATTGACATCCATTACTGATGTCAGAGGAGAGAGTCTGGGGAGGCCCAATAGCTGGCCTCAACTTACCCCATCCTTTTACCAGGTTCTTAACTCCACCACAATAAATGATTGAAATGTAGAGTCACAGTAGAAAGTGAGAACAGATTTAATGTAACAAATAAGAGATACAGATTTCAGAGAGAAAGTGCAGCCTAGCTCCAGAGACTGAGCAGGGCCCATACCAGGTTTAATACAAAAGTAAGAAATACACAGTTAAAGTTCAATAAAGAGTGCAGGCTGGCTCAAGAGC